CGAAATTCATAACAAGCAAGCAACAAACAAACACGTGAAAATGTATTTTAAAATAGCAGTGTGTTTGGGTATTTTCAAAGTATATTTTCGAAAAGCCAACTTCCAAACCCCAATCCCTCTTCCTTTTTTTTTTTTTATAGAATAAAGTATTATGTTTTAAGATTATTTTGGAGAATCAATAAAGGCTTATGTGTTTACGTGCTTTTTCAGTGATCCAGCATCAGCGGTGTTCAAAATGCTACTTATTCATACAGAAAATGTTGACAGTAATATTTCGTTTTTCGTTTCGTACAGCTAAGTATTGACCAATATGAGAACAGGTCGCTCATGAAGTTAGCTTTAAAACGTACAAGACTGTAACTTTATGAATGCTAAAGATTACGTTGTGAATGTCTGATTCATAAAACATAACTTACATTTATTTTCCCCATTTCTTTAAATGCTTCCTCCCTAAAAAGCGTAAATTAAGTAATCCATCAATATATTATCAACTGCTACGCAATGTCGTGTTACTGTGGTCCTCATTATATATTATATTTATCATTTGTGGTAGAATGTATTATTTGTCTTTATTTGTTTGTTTTTTTAAACAAAATTTCGCTGTGTCCATAGCGGAGATCCAACTTGAATTTTAGACTCGTAGACCCCAAGCTTGCCGCAGAACCATCAGAGACAAAGATAAATGTTTGATAGTTTAGTTAAAAATATCGAAGTTTTAAAGCTTTTTAACAATACAAATAACTTGATGTTAATGTAATTTCATTTAAGTTTTTTGTTTTTTGTTGTTGTTGTTTTGTTTTTTTGGCGCAAAGCTACAAAATAGGCTGTCTGCGTTCTGTTCACTAGGTGGAATCGAACTCCGGATTTTAGCATTGTAACTTTATAAACTTATCTCTGACCCACTGGTAACATAAAGAAAGGAACGTAGAAACACAGAGAATTAAAAGTTTGAAATGTAAAGGTGTTTTAGTTTTATATTTATTTCTCTTGAGGTTAAACATTATACGGAACGTAGAAACACAGAGAATTAAAAGTTTGAAATGTAAAGGTGTTTTAGTTTTATATTTATCTCTCTTGACGGAACGTAGAAACACAGAGAATTAAAAGTTTGAAATGTAAAGGTGTTTTAGTTTTATATTTATTTCTCTTGAGGTTAAGCATTATACGGAATGTAGAAACACAGAGAATTAAAAGTTTGAAATGTGAAGGTGTTTTAGTTTTATCTCTCTTGAGGTTAAACGTTATGCGATATCGATTATAATTTTGGAAAAGTGAAACTGAACACAGGATGTTAAAGTTTGAACCCTGTGGTGTTTTTGATGGTAGTTATGAGAGATGCTTTCAGCGCTATCCCTGACTTTTGTCGTGATCATTTCCACATTTTCGGTAAGACTCGGAACACAAAACGATTGAATAGTTTGAAGGATTTTCTCATCTCTACGCTTTGGCAAAGAGCTTCAGTACGTTTCATATTTATAGTTTAAACCTTCCTTCAATAAATTCTACAAGCAGAGAAGACCAAGTGATCCCCCATTAAAATACGGGGTGTCTGGAAATTATGTTAACATAATCGTTTACTTTTGTTTCAGAGACAGGAGTCCTGAACCATTTCCGGAGGTACCAATCGAGGTACACATCACAGCAGACATGAAACAACATCGGCAGTGCGACATATTCAGAAATAAATGTTAGCCATTATAGTAACTAAATTAGGCATAGTTTGGCTCCTGTGTTAGAGCTCTGGATTTCGGAGCTGGGTTTGAATACGTGCGATACTACAAAATAATCTACGTCTCTAAGCTGTGAGTGCGTTATAAAAGTGACAGTCCATCCCTTCCTCTGGTCATTAGTTCAAAATTAGGAGTGGCAGCAGATAGCCCTAATAGCTTTGTTGTAAATTACAAACACTTCAACTTCTGAAGTAGATGATCTGCATTTAATTTCAGAAACAACTGAGACAAAAATGTGCGATTTTTTTCTCAAAGAAGTGTAATTTATCGGAAACAGTTGCTCATTGTTTAAATAGAACTTTACTTTCTTGATGCTTTGACACAGGAATAGAAAATAACTTTAGGCATTCCAAACTTTCAGAACAGAAAACGAGATGTATTGGATCGTGTTTTAAGTATTGATGATTCTTAGTAAAAGACTGACCAATCACGCCATTCGTGAGGTTTACAATGTACCTTATATATATATATATATATCAGTGGCCCCCAACTGCTGGACAGAAACATCTACAAATGTATAACTATTTGTGAATAAAAATTCATATCATTAAAACTCTAAATCCTGCCAAACTTCCGTGTACTTTATATCTGTAGCTCTGATACTGTAATATAGGCCTAACGGTCCGTAAGTTTTACGGACTAGCTAGTTTAGAAGGACATAATAAAACCGTTTCTTGGTATTCGTAGTTAGGTACAATATTCGGAAGCACAGAATAGTAATGGAGATCTAGAAATTTTGCAAAGTTCCTAAACATAATTTTTTTATCTTTAGTAGTAGATTTCTCTGGAATATTCACACCAGATCATAAAGGCAAAATTTGCGTCTGTACTTGTCTTGAAGGTCGAACTTGCACGTGCTATATATTTAGTCAGAAAATAGTGTTATTGTTTAGCCTCAAGGCCTGTTATCACTAAGAGACAGAGTGAAAACTTCCCTAACTCATAATCTCATTTGGAGTGCATTGCGTGGTTAAGGATGACGTTAATTTGATGAAAGTATGCGTGTGTGTTTCATTCTCGTACTTTATCAATTCAGATCTTCTGTATTCGTGTTGTAAGCTGCTACGTATTCGGATCCAAGACTTGTAGATTTATGTCTTTATTTCCATTTATTCCACTCGTATGCATTAATGTATTAAGACTTTATTTATGTATTCAAACTATATTTATAAATGGATACACATCGCTTATTTTTTATATATATATTCATTTATTATATCTGTTGTTTATTCAATCTTTTCAATGGTGGCTCAGCGGTAAGCTTGAGAGCTTATAACTCTAAAATGCAGGTTTCGATCCCCTTAGGCACAACATAAATAACTCATAGTGTAGTTTTGTGCTTAAGAGCAAACAAACAGACTTGGTACGTCCATGTATTCACTTCATACGTTTTTATGTAATTTAAATTTAAGTAAAAAGTAAATATCGTTCAATCGTTGGTTAATTTAGTATTTTTGACTTCATGTGTTAGTTATTACTAAAAATTTTTTCTTGTGTCTGTTTTTTTTTGTTCATTTAGTTCAGCTCTATTTACCCGTCCTCTTTATATATCGTGAATATTTTTGGACAGTGGCTTTAGGACTGGCAATAAATTCTGACAATACGGACTTACGTGCCTAACTTTATCGTGAAATAAACAAAATTATGATAACATTATGTAAATTATGTAAACAAAATTATGATAACATAATAGGTTATTTGTCTACCGTGGGTATCGAACTCTGATTTTAGCGTACAAGCTTTCAAACTTGTATCTGAACCATTGGGAGGGAGACATCTGTATTCCGTATAAATGTAATGTCTTTCTAATGTTCTATTTTTATGAACTTTTACGTGTAGTTTGGAGATCAGCAGAATTCCTATAATCTTGATATTTGGTTAACTTATTAAATACAATTTAAATTCTTTAAATTGATCGACAGAACGTGTTGTAAAACCTATCGATTTCTGCCTAGTCCAGTGAAGTTTTGAATTTCAATTAAATTCCTTTGTTCCTCGTCTAACTTGGTGGTGCAATATTTAACTCATGCAAAAATGATTAATTGGTACTGTCTTTTGCATCATGAAAACAGAGAATTTTCATTTAAGGGAATGATTTGTGTGGGCACGAACAACGTCGGCTACGGACAGTTATTTTCTCTAAATATTGAATGTTAATATAATTTCTATTAACTGCGTATAAATACGAGTTATTTAAGAGTTCCTTTGTAAAACGATTATTCGAGAAATCGCTAATACACTGATTTTTTTTTGTATGTAGTCTGGGAATGACCCTTATTGTTTCGTGGAGTTTACTGACCATCAGGCTGCAGCGGCTGCTCTATTGGCCATGAACAAGAGACACTGTTTTGGAAAGGTACGTCTTCTTTTTTTATCCTAAATTAGCCATCAGGATTTTAACTTTTAGCCGAAGATATTTTAAAGGACATACACCTTTCTATTTCTGCATCCTCCGTTGGCTCAGCGATAAGTTTCAAGTTTTATAATGCTAAAATTCGGGTTTCGTAACCTTGTGGTGGGCATAGCAGGAATGGCCTATTGTCCAGCTTTGCGAATAACGACCAAAAACAAATAGAAAACATCTTTTTTTTTTTCCCGTGTGTCTATCCATAATGGATTCTCGTTGTAATTTCGATGGCTAACACTTATGCCTAAGAATAAATAAATCAGTACGTTTTGTAGAGTCTTAATTACATTTTTCTTATTTTAAATAATATACAGTGACTTTTAAATAAAACATGACATAGAATTACATCGTGCATTAAATGTGTATAAAACATATGGAGCGCATTTCCAGAGTTTGTAGATTTTGCCACCCGGGGCGCTACTTACGCTTTGTGACGTTACAACTTGCGTTTTTTCCTTTTTTTTTTTTTTTACTAGCCTGACGGAGCTGTCATTGTGTCTTAGAGATGCTTGCAACCAGAAAATCTCTCTTAGATCGCATAGCATTTGTAAAGTTTTTTAAAATAACGAATCCAATGCTGGGGCGGCGTGCTTCTCCTGCCTTTCCCATAAATTTGAGAAGACAGGATTTGTGGCCGATGAACTATGACCAGGAAAGAGCTGGTGCAGATATTCAACACGTGTCGAGGATGATACAGCAGTATCCATCAAGTTGCCAGATCTACTGGTCGTGGAAGATCAACCACGAGTCAATAAATCTGTTTCCATACAAACAGGAGGAATTTATTTCTGGCAACCCGGAGAAGTGGTTGATCTTTGCACGTGTTCAGATGGATTTAAATGGACTTGACAACGTTTTATGGACTGATGATAACCTCCTTTCGCCTCCATTATTTACACTCATGATTCTATTATATGGTGTGACGCTGATCCACGTGCATTCGTTGACGTAAACGAGACTGTGTGGGTTAGTTTGTCAGCATTGAATGTTTGTCTGTTGATTTTTGCGCTAAGCTATTCGAGGGCTATCTGCCCTTGCCGTCCCTATTTTAGAAGTGACAGACTAGAGTGACTACGGCTAGTCAGTACCACCCACCACCAACTTTTGGTTTATTCTGTACCAACGAGTAGTGGGACTGACCTTTACATTATAACGTCCCTGCAACTGAGCATTGTTATCATCAATTTTCATTGTTATTTTTATTTTGAGGAGCCCACAGGTCGTAGTTTACTTATGACCGTTATCAACACACGTTAGTTAACGATCACCATTACGTGTTACCAACGTTGTGAAGAACCAGCTTCGTAATGGTTTCAGTGAACGAACTAATCATCAACAAAGGGTTGCTGCATGTTTGGCCACCATGGTCACCAGATGTCCTGTCTTCGGAATTTAGGTTAAGGGTCTATCTGGAAACTGTTGATCTCAAGAACATTATTGCCATCAAAGTGGTTAATTGCACGCAGCTCTGTAACACGTGATACCACATCTGAAGGCTATTATTGAGAAGGGTGGAGGTGTGTACCACGTAATACCACATCTTTTGGCTGTTATTGAGAATTACGGAGTTGCGTATCACGTGATACCACATCTGGAGGCTATTATTGAGAATGGCGGAGGTGTGTACTACGTGATACCACACCTGGAAGCTATTATTGAGAATTACGGAAGTGTCTACTACGTGATACCACTTCTGGAGGCTATTATTGAGAAGGGTGGAGGTGTGTACTACGTGATACCACACCTGGAAGCTATTATTGAGAAGGGTGGAGGTGTGTACTACGTGATACCACACCTGGAGGCTATTATTGAGAAGGGTGGAGGTGTGTACTACGAGATACCACATCTGGAAGCCGTTATTGAGAAGGGTGGAGGTGTGTACTACGAGATACCACATCTGGAGGCTATTATT